GTGCGCGCGGCGCGGTGACGTGGGCGCGGCGGGCCCGCTCCGCACAGCGCGCCTGCGCGCCTTTTCGCGCCTTCGGCGCCCTTCTCCTCCTTCTCCTCTTCCTCCTCCCTCCGCCCCCGTTTCGCTCCCGCTGCTCCCGCAAGGGCCGCCCGTTTGGGGCAGAGGAGGGGCACGCTCGTGTCCGGGTGTGCGCGTGCGCCGGCGCAGGCTGACCCAGGAGAGATCTGTGCATGGGTGCAGGAGAGCGGGGCCACGTGTGTGCATGGCTGTGTGTGCATTAGGAGTAGCGCAGCCACCTGTGTGCATGAGGGTGTGTGCCCTTGGAGAACAGAGAGGACACGTGTGTGCAGAACGGCCACATGTGTGGATGGCAGTGTGCCATGTGTAGGTGTGCGTGGCTGTGTGTGCCCTGAGGGGGGCCAGACGTGTGCGTGGCTGTGTGTGCCGTGAGTAGAGGGCCACGGGTGTGCATGGCTGTGCGTGTTGTGAATAGGTATATAGTTGTGTGTGCCATGATAGAGGGCCAGGTGTGTGCCGTGAGTAGAAGCTTATGGGTGTGCATGGCTGTGTGTGCCCTGAAGAAAAGAGCTGTCTCAATGCAGATTGAGCATCCTTGTGTGTACGTGAGGGGCTGTCTACATGCACACCTGGGCGTGTGTATAGAGGAGGCCATGTGTATATATGTGTTTTTGCACAGAGAAGGGATGAGATGGATGTGTGGGAACAAAAGGGGCTGTATATGAGGGTGTGTGCTTGTGTTTGCACAGGAGGGAGGCCAGGTGTGGGTGTGATTTTTAGTGCCTGTGTGTACGCCATGGCAATGGAGGGCACATGGGTGTGAGTGGACACTAGGACAAAAGGAGACCCCTGCCCTGTTCAGCCAACAACCTCCACCCAGGCAGCTTCCACCTAGGCAGCCTGCATGGGGATCATCCAAGTCCTGGGCACTGTGCAAAGCAGCCCAAGGGGAGGAACTGGGACAATGGACAGAGAGTCTGCTTTTCTTCATTCTTGGGCCTGGTGAGTGCAGAGCCCTGGGGCAGGGCCTACTTCAGCCACCATGACAGTGAACGGTGGCCGAGCCTCCATATCCGCCCAAAAGTGTGGGCAGCACCATGCGTCTTACATAATTAAGGTCAGCCAGAGACTTTGAAGAGTGCAGAATATGTGACATCTCACAGGAAACCCCCCTTACACAATTTCACAACTCAGCTCCTTGTATGGTGGCTGCACCCACAATTCCCTATCCAGGGATGGTCCACCCCTGCTTAGGCTACGAACAATTTAATGAGCATTAGCTTCTTTGAAAAGAAACTTCACCGCACCTCTCAGGAGGCCACCCCAGAGCCCGTGGGGAGACAGCTGTACAAGGGAGCACTGAGAACAAAAGACCCACCTGAGGCTCAGCTTAGCCCTTAACCCACCCTTGGGGGGACATTACTGCCTGGGGTACCCCTTCTTGCCCGTGCTCTTCACCAAAACCCAATTCAATTGTTTTTTTCCAAAATAAAGCCTGGTTTTGCCACCTAAAAAAAAAAAAAAAAAAAAAAGAAACTTCATGCACTGGTATTTGGGGAAGAGTTGAAGAGACTGGGAGAGGGCGTCACCCTAAAGGGCCTCCTCTGCAGTGGCATCTGCTTTCCTGTTCAAGGTCCCCTTTATTTCTAAATCTATATACTTTTCCTCCTCAGAGGGGCATAAATTCCCAGGTCTGTTGCTTTTCTATCACAGGAATTTTTATTCTTGGACAAATTTAAATGCACACGTGGCAGCAGTTAAGTCCTTATCCAGTCACCTGAGCCTCAATCTTCTAGAGCCCTGGACCCCAGAAGCAAGAGGACCTGAACTCAGGAGCAGAGATTGGGACTCAAACCCCATTCTCCAAGTGCAGGATTCTGGGCATTTGACAGTGCTGATGCAGGTTGATGCCTAATAGGATTTCTGCTCCAAAGTCACCATGCAACTGGAGTGTGTGCCACACCAAGTTCCCTGAGGCTTTGGTGTGCTTGGGGAAAGGCAAAATGCTACTCCTGCCCTGTGTGTAGTCTCCTATCCCACAGAAAGCCTGCTTCTGTATCAGATACTAACACAATTCTAAAATTTCCATTTGAGAACCCACATTTTTATTTTTTTTTTAATTTTTTTTAAATTTATTTGTGTGTGTGTGTGTGTGTGTGTGTGTGTGGCCAGCTCAGCCCACCAGGGGGCGGGGCTGGCTGGCATGTGGTGCTGGGGATCGAACCGTGGTCCCTGTGCTTTGCTAAGCTTGTTCTAAGTAGGTGCTTTAGACCACTGAGCCATCTCACCAGCCCCCACATTTTTAAAATATATGCATATATATTTATCTATCTGGTACAGGGTCTCACTATCAGACTCATAGTGGTCCTCCTGGCTCAGCCTCCCCAGTGCTGGGATTGCAGGCAAGCATCCTCATGCCTGATTTTGGTGGCCAGGACGGCGCACCCATGGTTCTGGGGTCTGCACAGCTGGGGTTCTGGGGCCAGCATGGCATGTGGTACCAGGAATCAAACCCATGTCTTGTGCTTGCCAGGCAGGCACTTACACCGCCGAGCTATCTCCCCAGCCCCGAGAAGCCACATATCTTGATAGGACCGCATCGCAGTCTCCTTGAGTAAGCCCATTACTCCACCACAGTTCCCTGCGTCTTGAGCACCCAGCACGTCCCTGGAGCTGATCTGCTGGAGAAACACAAGACAGTCATTCACTCAGGTGCTGATGGTCACCTCCCAGGGGCTGCCAGTCAGCCTTCTGTGGCTGGGGAGAGCTGTCTTGTCTCATGAACATGAATGCCAAATTGTCCCACAGTGTCTGGTGCTTGCTGCATGAAGGTGGGCAGAGAAATGTTTTATTTATTAGAGGAAGGCAACCCACCTTTCCCAGGACAAACGTCTCCTGAGAGTTCTGTGACTGAGTGTAGTCTGCAGTGCCAAGGCACTACATGAGTTCTTCCTCTTGGTTTTCTTCAGTGTCACTGGTCTTTCCTCCTGCCACTTCTCATTTTCCTCTTAGTGGGTTACCACATTTGCCCTTGGATTCAGCAAGTGTTTAAAAGTAAATAATACGGGCAGGTGAGATAGCTCAGCAGACTAAGTGCCTGCTTAGGAAAGGACAGGGTTTGATCCCTTGCACCACATGCCACGCCAGCCCCGCCCTGGGCATGCTGAGCCAGCCACCGAGTCCAGGCATAGTGGCACATGCCTATAATCCCAGCGCTGGGAAGGATGAAAACAGGAAGATCACTATGAGTCCGAGCTGCATAGTGAGACCCTGAACAAAATACATTAAAACAATATAAAAAAACATTTTATACTGTACTTTAGATGAATAAATTATATGATACATAAACTTTTCCCATTAACAATTTTCTTAAAGCTACAAAGGACATTTTGGGCACAATTAGGAAAGATTGTACGTATTCCTCATATTAGGCAAGAAGAAATCACTGTGCTAGGTACAATAATGGTATTGTAGCAGCATGGGATTGCCATTACTCTTAGAAGCACAGGGATTCCCAAGGGCTCAGGTAGAAGTAAAGTTCATGCTTATGCTATGTCAAAAGACTATGTGCTATATCATTCTATTTATATGATGTTATAAAAAGGCAAAATTGGAGAGGAGAACTGAATAGCAGTGCCTAGGCTGGGTTGATTCCAATGGATAGCAGGATGGAATGGGGCAGGTGTGACAGAAATGGTGACCAAGGGGCTGGGAAGAGAGCTCAGTACAATAAGTGCTTGCCTGGCAAGCACAAGAGCCTGAGATCAATCCCCGGTTCAAAAAAAAAAAAAATGGTGACCAAATACTAAGCTGCCCTCATTACAGTTTTAGATGTTTCAGCCTTCAACTCCTGGGAGGGATGAATTTCTTGCCTGATCAGTGTCCCTTCCTCTAGGGGAACTGATAGTTACAGGCATGATATATAGCTAATAGAAAATTACTGAGCTTGTGAGCAGTCCTGGAGACTCTGAAATTTGAAATTGGCGTCAGAAGTGAGGGTGGTTGGGGGCCTGGGCCTAGCTCAGTCCTTTAAGTGGCTGCTTCCACAAAGCTGTCAGCCTCAGGTGGCTGGAGTTCGAACCTCACAACTCTCCTGCTGGCCAAACGTGCCCTGAAGGCATGCAAGGAACAAAAAAAAAAAAAAAAAAAAAAAAAAGTGAGGGTGGTCTTGAGTATCCCCAAATTTATGTTTGGTCTTATTAGTAATTGGTCCTGCAGCTCTCTGCATTTGGAGTGAGTGTCAGCAGTAACGTGGCTACTGGGACTCCAATACAGCAAAACTATTTTATATCTTTTTTTTTGGTATTTTTATTAAGGGTCTGCAG